TTTTTTAAGGGCATTTTAGGATTTTCTCACTCACGGTTTCCGAGCTTTGTGATCTTGGATGGGCCTTTGTTGGGCTTACTGCAAAGAATGGGGCATTTGCAAGCCCAAGAAAATTTTTATTCCTATTAGTTTTTTTAATATTATTAAAAATATAGCAATATATAAATATTGTGAGATTGTTTATAGCAAAATTTTTACTCAACCCACCGACTTGACTTGATTTGCCGACTTAAAATAAATTATAGTCTATCACATGATTAATATGAAAGGAGTCACAGTCATTAAAATAAAATAATAAGAGCGTCATGAGTTGTTTTTTCTGATATGTGAACTTATTTGATCAAACTCATTTACCTCATGATTGAAAATGATTTAATTCATTCATTTCTTTGTGTCTGTTAAATTATTCCAAGAAAGAAAATATGCATAAAAATCTTATGATCATCATTTTGCATCATTTGGAAAAAAAACTTTAAGAAAGATTCATTGTGTTTGTGTTAGATTATCCCAAAGAAAAAAAAAATACACATAAAAATCTTATGAGCATCATTTGAAAAAAAAAAAAAAACTACTTTAGGGGAGGTTCTGGCACAACTTCAATTTGCCAAGGTTATGAAGCTCTTGGAATTGAGATATGAACTCTTTGAATAGTAAAGATACACACAAAGAGCAAATGTTAAAGGGAAAATAGAAAAAAAGACTTTCACTTGATAAATCAATTAAATAACAAATACAATCAATCCAACAAAACAACATGCAATCTACCTATATACATTCACTAATTTAACAAACCTCTGCCCTCATAAATTTCCAATTACTTTTCCTACTTCCATTTTTTCCACTTTCACCAAACTATTCCTAATTATGTAAACGGCTAACAAACCGTTCAAAACCGCCGGTTCCGTTCCCTTACATAACCTCAAGCCGAGAGTACCCAAACGGAGGATGTGGTGATAACGGCGACAATGGCGGCACGCTGAATATCCCCTTCCCTTCCTCATAGTCCCAGAATCCGGTCCAGTTTGACGGCGTTAAGCACACCCCCATCGTCTCCGCCTTCCTTTCTTCGGGTTCCGACGAGTTCTCTCTCTTCACCGCCTTGATGCTTGCCTCGCTTCCCTCCTCTTCCCTCCTCCTTTTTCTCGAACTAGAATCCTCCGTCGATTCCGGTTCGGCGGGAGTGCTATTCCGGCCTGCTTCAAGAGGGAAATTCAAAATCGCTTTGCTTCCACGCAACTTAAACGCAGCTCCATCGTAAGCCTTCGCTGCTTCTATGGCGGTATCGAATGTTCCGAGCCATACCCGAGCCCCTTTCCTATTCGGATCCCGAATCTCCGCTGCATACTTACCCCATGGCCGCCTCCTGACACCTCTATAGTGGATCTTTTCCTGAGACTCCGACTCCGCTGCAGGGAACGAGTTGTTCAATTTCACCGTTGCAGGAGGGATGGTAACGTTAATCGAAGGGCGACGCTGGCTCAGAGTGGAAGATTTCACCTGGGTTTTAGTTTTGCCAATTTCTGAATTGGGAGATTGAGGGAAATGGGTTTTTGATGAGACGGTGGAAGTGCAGTTGTTGAGATTGGATAAGAAGGTCTCCATGGAGGCGAAGTCGGTAAGGAGGTGTTGCCGGATGAGTTCCAGGGCTGATACTTCTTCAGGGGATGCCATGGGAATCACAAGGGGGTGGACAAGAACTTACAGGAGTTAATATCTACTAACAAAACTATGTACTAATTTCCTAGTATATTAGAAGAAAGGGTCTAGAAGAGTTGAGGATGGTTTTTGAATGGGGAGGCTGTGTATATAAAGGAAAGCAATTGAGGAGGTTTCTCAGGTAGCTTCCAGGGTGGGGAGGGGAAGCCTCCTGTAGTTAAGTGACAATCATAGAGTGGAATTCCAGTCTTATAAGAAATATGATATTTTATTTTGGGAAGACAGTTGTGTAATGTAGACCATTAGAAGGGTGAGGGGTTACATCGGGGTGTCTTTCTTGGCGAACTATTTCTGTTTTGTTTTGTAATGTGGTGTAATTTGGAATGAAAAATATGTACTTTTTATTTTGAGGGTGAATATTGTTTTGTGGTCTTAAACTTTTAGTTTTCTTGTAGAGTCATCACCAACATTTGAAATGGAGCAATTTGGTCCTTAGTCTTTTTAATACAAGAGGGGATTCAAATCCAAAACTTTAATTGGCATTAGTAACTTTAAAAATCATATCAATGTGTTCTACATGTATCTTTTCTATTAGTTTAACTAGCAAAACTTCACATTATATTAGCATTAAGTGGATAAAAAAGAAAAAAACTATTGATTGAATTTAATATTAATAATATATGTGAGAGTTTTTATTTATTTGTTCACAATGCACTTATATGGCAGGTTATGTAATGCCATGTAAGCACAAAGGTAAATTGATGTCATTTAAATTGATTGAGAAGTGATGGGAAAATTGCATCAATACTATTTTCACAGTTATTAGATCATTGTGGGATAAAATAAAACTTCTTAAATTAAAGTGATAAAAGAATAAATAGTTAGCAAACCAATTATTAAATTTAGTCATGTTGCAAGTTGAGTACTGAAAATGACATCTATTCTTTTGTCAATCCTTTTTAATTTTTATAATATAGACGAAGGAACCGAGGGACCAATGCTTGATGTTTTCTTACAACATGTGTTTCCAGGGTAAGCAAGCAAGGTTGGTATTAGGTAAAGCAGATTATAATGTTTAATTAACTGGGAATGGAGGAAAAGCTCAGTTAAGTGGGAGCACGTTGTTTTGACTTCCTTTCATAAACAGATAAATCTCCAGCTTGGAAACGATTACCAGCAGAAAGTACATTCATTACATTATTCAGAAGCTAGGCACCTAGGTGGCATAAATAACAATAAAAGTTTAGGAATTCAAGTTTATGAAGCTACGAAACCATGAAAACCTTTCTGACTGCAGTATTTCAAAAAAGATAGACTGAATTGCACCTGGGCCTCACGATTCAATGGTTATAGTTATAGGTCGGTTTGTAAGGTGCATCCTTCGACCCGAGGGTTGGGATTGAATTCCCCCCACCCCCAAATTTGTAACCCTGATAAAAAAAAAAGATAGACTGAATTTACCACGTTTTCAAAACAACTGTCTCCATTAATTAGATTATTCAACATGTAAATTATATATAATATTGACTGGTCTAGTGGTCTATCACTAGGAAAGGAAACAGAATTTTTGGTCCATCTGAGCATTGCTTTAGTAATTTAAAAGATGTGTAAGTTTCAAAATATTGATGACGGTTCAAGGCTAATGTCTTGTAATTATAGAAAATGATCTTGAAAGTGAAAACTCCCTTATTCTTATAAAAATAGAGATTCTGAATGAAAATTATACTAAATGAAAAACAGAATAAAAAAAAGACTATTTTAGTGTGTACTTTTATAAGTTAAGCTAGCAATCAAAATTAATCATCTAAAACCTTATTTTATATTTAAAGTTTTGATAAAATTGAATAAATTTAAGTCGGTCCAGTTCATTATCAGATGAATAATCTTCAATTATTATTGAACTTGTTTTACTAAAACATCAATCCTTCACATGTGCTTGACTCTGAAGACTGAAGACTTTGATATTCAAAGGTAACCTGCATGTGGAGTTTGAAATATTGACTCTGGGGCTCTTTTGACAATAAATTTAAAGCAGATTTTCAAAAAACTGTGCTGAAAGGTGCCTGAAACAAAGAAACGAACTTGCCCTTGCATTGCTTGCAGCTGCTGTGCTGCGTCCCCCACTTGTCAATCAAAGTCACGTTTTCCTTCATCATCTTGAAATTCCTATTGATCAGATTTGCTCATCTGTCTTCCAGGGAGTCGAAATTTGGTCATCTATATGTATCTTTATTTGGTGTTGATATGAATATTTAACTCGCTACTTGCTTGTGCTGGTCGAATTTGTGAAACACCCAAAAATTTAATGCTACTAGCTACATGCAAGAATGCTAACTTGTCAAATTAATTAATGGGTCCACTAGTTGTTAATCAAATCATAAATGGTGGTCGACTTCATCTTTTACAAAAAAACATGATTTTGAATAATTTGTCCCAGTTGATATTTCAGCCGACATACCAGCACGTTTGATGGCGATTTATGCAACTTGCTCTTTTATAAATTTTTGAATATGTGGCAGGAAAAATTTAAATTTATGTTTATATTAAGAATTGTGTTATGTCTCGCCATGAGATATTTGTTTATATTTTGATTAGTATGATTCACAATTTTATCTCTTAAAAAAACTCAAAAAAAAGGAAAAAAGAATTGACTCTTACTTATAATTAAATTATATCTATTCTTGATTGTCTTCAATGTAAGATTCTAACCTTAATTACTCTATCATTGTACCATTAATTTCACTCAAATGAGTTGTGGTTTAATTAATAGTTTGTTGAAGTATGCCAATAAGATCCTTAATTACTCCATTGATTGTCTCCCGCTATCATCCTCATAACTTTGCTTATAAATCATTTTAAAGGCTATATTTCAATTTGACCCCCCAACATATTTAAAAATTTGTGGAAGAAATATTTACTTACAAGCAAGTTTGCTAATAAGCTCTACCAAACATACCCATAACATGGTTAGGCGTGCATTCTAGCTAATTCTGTAGATGAAGGATTTTTTTAAGAATTTTTTTGAGTTATATTTGTGTTTTAATTGTGAAATTTGTATTATATAGAATTCTACTTAGGTTAAATCTCTAATTTAGTTTTTGAACTATTGTACGGACTTTCAATTTGATCTCTGAACTAAAAAAATTCTTAATTTAGTCCCTGAACTATTATACAGATTTCCAATTTGGTCCTTACTATTTACCAATTTGTTCCAAATTGATCTTTCTATACAAAAACAGTTGACATGTTTCGTTATTAACATGACACATGATCGTTAAATTATTGTTTTTTACCATTAAATATTAGACACGTCAGCTTTTTTTTATATGGAAGGACTAATTTGGAGCAAATTGGTAAATAATAAGGACCAAATCAGGGGTCTGTACAATAATTTAGAGACCAAATCAAGAATTTTTTTAATTTAAAGACTAAATGAAAATCTATACAATAGTTCAGGGACCAAATTAAAAATTTAACATTTTAACCTTCTACTTATTGTTACCAGTGTTATCAATTTCGTTTCGTACCGGTCGGTATGGCCGGTATGTACCGGTTTTCTCAAAGAACCGAAACGGAACAAGCTTAAATTTTGTTTCGATCAAATTTTGGTATACCGGCCAGAATTTGATGTACCGGCCGGCACACCGAAATATGACCGGTACACCTAAGTTCAAACCAAAAAAAAAAAAAAACAATGGATTTCCGATTGCAAATCTGTTTCTGTTCTCCTTCTTCATCACGAACGACGAACGCCACACGCCACACGCCGCATGCCGCGAACGTCTTCCTCAACCTATCACCGGTGGGTTGGAGATTCATTGAATGCTTCGCTTCGGTGATTACCGACTAGATCTCCTTCATCTCCTCCCCTTTTCTGGTAGCTGCCGAACCCTTCTGCTTTGGTGATTACCGGTGATGAAGGTGGAGGCTGTGATGATGATGAGATGCTCAGTAAGGGGATGGTGAAGATCCGAGGTGAAAGAACG